CTTACCAATTTACGAACGCATACTATGCGTTTGTAAATTAAATACTGTATGTATAAAGTGGGTAGAAAATAACTAGGCATAGAGAAATCGTTGTAGTTTCTATATTTCTAATGCAAAACTGATCAAATTTATCTGACACGTACGTACAGTACCTCACTAAATGAAAAAACGGATGCATACTTTAAAATTCAACGTAAGTACCGGCGCTATCCACCAACTTCCTCAAATTACCGGGATTAAAAGTCTCAGACTTCTAAAGAAAGTCGCTGGGACGTTAGTGTTAACGTCCCGATTCGTGCTTCAAATTTTTCCAGTGTTCGATGGTCTTGTTTCTTTGCTCGATTCTACTAGACTTCATTTTATGAAAGGTTTTCAAGAAGTGTCGACCTGGCGCAATCTGACATTTTTCTCCGGGGTTAGACAAAGGAGGAGGCGTACCGAAATTTATAAATTACTGTATAACGATTTCTCAATGCATAGTTACTTTCCAACCACCTCTTATATAAATATACAAATACTAAATAGGCCTTTACATATAAGGATATACAACAGACTTTTTACGACTGGTATAATTTGCCAGCAAACAATTCCAGAAAAACAGTAAACAGTAAAAACAAGTATCTACATTTAAACAAATACATATTCATCCTCAGTTTAGAATACGTAATTTTGACTGTAGGGCAAATAATATCCTAAAACCAAACAATTCGTTCGATTCTCAGATGTTATTTGTATTGTCAGCGTCACAATCTATTGAAATAAAACATAAAGTATCTGCCTTCTTATGTGACTATTTCGATAAATTAAACCCTGCCAGGTAGTTCAAATGCACGTAAATAAAAGTATTGTATTCTTCTTTAACAACCTAAATTAAATATTTACTGTATCATCGAGTGTGGTGTGTTTAAGAATTCTAGTTACACAAATATATATGAGTTCCTCTTTCTTTAAAAGGAGCAAATGGCTCCACCCACTCATAAACGTAAACGATAATTACGAAAATTGTGTTGTTTATCTTGTAGAAAGACACATTTCAACAGTTTAGCTATCTTCTTTATGTTCTATTACGTTCACATTCACACTAAGAAAAGAACACGTACAATATAAGAAAGGTACAATATAAAGAAGCATAAACTATAAGATAGTGTGACATACACACTCACACACACACAAAGAAAATGCCATCTATCTAACTTCTTTCGGGAGAAAATTTTTGAATTGAAATAACGTGACTTCCTGTTTTCATCGAAAGTTCGTATATTGTTAATCGGGGTTCCTATATCTGGTCTCGTCTTTTGTCTATCTGACTTCCTTCTCGAGATTAAGGAAAACAGACGGACGGACAAATGACAGTGGGAATTTATAGGTCTATTATTTTTTCAAATTGTAGTACAATTATAAAAAGAACGAGCTTTTCCTGTTGACTTTAAAAACGCTGTCTATTTGGAAAGTTCCTTTACGAGGAAGACATCCGCAACGTCTTCCTTACTTTGTCCTCCATTCACAAGTTTGCATCTGATAAACTTAAGCGGACAACTCCGAAGCAGTCGAGTATATTCTGCTGAACATCTACAGCAACGCTAGTACTTAAGGTGTTGAATAGGAAATTCATGTACGTTTCGTAAGCAGTACGCACACGAAAGTAAATATAGCAGCGTGCCTTATGTCATTAATAGCACACGCTAACAGTAAAAAACTACGCCGCGATTACTTGTTATTGTTAGCTCTAGCTTTATTTTCCAAAATATAATAATTTAACTTATATGCGATTGAAAGATATTGTAAGGCTACCACCAACCACTCAATTTAACTGGAAATCCATTGTTCAACAGAAGTTGCAGCAGTTGTTGAATTCAGAATGTAACCGTAATTAAATTTGAATAGATAAAAATATAAAAAAATTAAATTTATCAATGTTTTAGTTGTAAGGATTTCTAAAGCAGAGTACGTCTTACTCTTATCGATTTATTTTCACAACATGACGTAGCCATATNTATCTTAGGTAGATAAGAGGAAAAGGATGTTTTTCATTGAAAAAACATATGATAAAGTATTTATATATAACTTTACGTATAGAAAGTGGTGTAAATACGATAAGATTTAAAGTGCAAATGCAGCGTTAAACTTATTTTGTATACGAAAATATAAGAATCGTCCAATCATATAGGATATTTAATCTTAAGTTAAACATTCATTGCAATATTTGTCTTAATACTGTAGTTTAAACTTGGATTTATGAGATTTGTTTAGAAGAGGCTGGTTTTAAAAATAGGCACGGACACATCCAAAAATGAAGTAGGGCCTGGGTAGGCCAAATGAACCGGGTCTAGACATTCGGGTATTTGAATATCCTTTTGATTGTTTGGAGAATCCACAAATTTTTTTATTGCATATATTGTTTGAGACCACCAAATATAGGTGTATTGCTTGAAGATATTCAATAGGAGATTGAATTTGTCCGTCGTCATCTAGTAATGTTCAGTACGTACCAGTAGAACTTTTTATCATCTTGGAATATTTATTGTTGGGAATAATCTTCTCGGTTTGCTTTCTACCGTGGACGATTTTTGTATATGTAAGCGGAGTATGACAAGCTGGGCATGTTAGTTGGATATCAATTGTTATTAGATAGCTATGTCGGAGTCGTGTGTCCTCAGTCCAGCAAGTAAAATTTCTTTTCGCTTTCATGGTTGGTTACTTGTCTGGTTTTATAGTATGTAGTTTGTTATTTGGCTGCTTGTACCATTCCTCTTGCCATTTCTCAAGATGCTGGATCGGAAGTCAAGTGATTTTTTAATTAAAATGTAATAAAAAATGTCGGTCCACATAAAAAAATGTCGCAATAAGTAATTTATGACGGGAGTTACGTGTAAATATTACTTAACATTATAACGAAAATCATACTTTTAAAAATTAATTTTGTATAGCCCTAATTATCTGTGTTTTGTGTTTTCTTTGTTAAGTTATAGCGTCTGATTCTTATCTTAAAGAGCACTTAATATGATTAGATACATCAAGGTGAAACTTTATTGCTATTCGCTTAACAACAGAAAAACAATAGAAAAGTGAATTCTATAGTCACGCCTTATTATTGAAAAACCTGCCTTAGAGGAAATAATAAAAGCCAGAATCGCGCTAAACCTCTTACCACGTTACATCATATCCGTCATATTTTGAAAACCTGTTCTAGGGTTCTGTTCAATATTTCGGAGCACAATAAAGGCTAAAATTATTTAATTTTTTCTCCTTTAAGGTTTTGCAATGGTATTGCTGGCTATTTTTATTAGGGACTCAATTAGACCCGTTCTTTTCGAAATGAGAGGGTACCGCTGTTTAGAGTTTTACGAGTTAGCTTACAGTTACACTACTTGTTTCCTTAATAGTAGCTGAAGAGTAACTTTTTTTTACTATAATATACACTATACACAGAGCCTTGAACGATCTGAGACATTTGCTACTTTAATATAAAATATGAAAAAAAAACATCTGGCGTATTCTATAAGTCAATTAACCATTATTAATGTTATTCCGTAATACGTGTCGGTTAACTGACTTTTCAGCCACTTTGCATTATTAATTAAAATTTAATTGAATTTTATTAGGCCTATTAATACTGAAATTAATTTAGGAAAAACTTCGAATGAAAGCATATTTTTAGTTTTAAAATTTCAGAAAGATGAGGTAGAGTAGAATTTTAAAGACGTGTTATCATTCTAACCTACGAGTGAATTGAATAGATAGTAGCCTTACAATATCTTTCAATTTCATATAAATTATTATTTTTTGGAAAATAAAGCTAGAGGTAACAGTAACAAGTGATCACGGCGTATTTTTTTAATGTTAGCGTGTGTATTAATAACATAAGGCACACCTCTATATTTACTTTTGTGTGTGTGCTGTTTACGAACACCTTAAGTAATAGCGCTGCTGTAGATGTTCAGCAGAATATACTCAACTGCTTCGGAATAGTTGTCTGCTTAAGTTTATCAGATGCAAACTTGTGAATGGAGGACAAATTTCTCGTAAAGGAAGACATTACGGATTTTTCCAAACAGACAGCGTTATGAAAGTCAACAAGAAAAACTCGTTCTCTTTACAATAACTTAATTGTACTACAATTTGAAAAAATAATAGACCTATAAATTCCGACTGTCGTTTGTCTGTCCGTCTGTTTTTCTTAATCTCGAGAAGGGAGTCAGATAGACGAAAGACGAGACCGCTGTTAATAATAAATAAGTAATTTATGACGGGAGTTACGTGTAAATATTACTTAACATTATAACAAAATCATACTTTAAAAAATTAATTTTGTATAGCCCTAATTATCTGTGTTTTGTATTTTCTTTGTTAAGTTATCGCGTCTGATTCTTATCAGACGCGATAACTTTTGGTCAATTTTT